ATGGTCACCGATGGTTAGAGACACTGAATGATATGGCTGGGTGTCGCAAACAGTGGCGCTTGTGCATCCACTCGTTATTTTCCTAACGCCACTCTCTATATTTATTCCCCATCTTCCGCTTGAATTCGCTTCGACTTCCCAATCTTCATTTCACTCTTTTATCCAAATGGGCAACCAAAAGACAGACGAAACTGCATGGTTAATGGTTGTAAAAAACTGAAACTGAAAGCTGAAGCACTGAACAATTTTTTTAATTAGTCAAATAAAATTAGGTTAAGCATAAAATGCGATGTTAGTGACTCTGGGATACATTTCTTGAATAGTATGGAATTTCTCTTCCCATTAGATCCTTTCTCTCTGTATGTAATTCTCGCATATAGCCAATTATCTTGCAGGAGGCGTGTGTGCAGTGTAAACCTTCAGCATAGCGAGGTCAATTAACCATCTGGAAATATTCACCTTATCATGTGATAACATTCGAATGGAAGGCTGGTAGATCAAGTATTTCATTTAAGTTTGAATTGTTCACGTTTCTTTTAGCTTCCGTTCAATATTATGAATAAAATTTGACCACGTTCTCTGCGCAGATTATTCCTCTGACCCTTTCTTCTACCGCCGCCCCGCTCCTCTTCTGTTTTCCAGTCGAAACACGTGTCGGGCAGAAGTGAAATTCGGTGGTCAGCGAACAAATTTTGCCAATCGAAACACCGTTCAGTTTGGCACATATATGGGCAAGGATGTTTACAATCCAATGCAATTTCTTCTGTCTAAATGGGAGGTGAGTGAGACGCTGAGAAAATCAGTGGAAAATGATATCTAACTATCTCAGAGAAAATGTTTATCTGGATTTTCCAAATTGTCAACTGAAAACTGTCTTACCCTCAAGATAATATCTGATTACCGTTTCTCGATAAGATCGATTGTAAGCGATGCGCCAAACATCTAATCCTCTGTGATGGTGAAAGAGTAGCGAACAAAGCATTTGGGTTATCTTCGTTGGCAGTTTAGTTTCAGTTTGTACAACAATTAACCATGCAATTTCGTGCGCCAGTTTTCGTAGCTGTCTTTTGGTTGCCCATTTGGGTGAAGAGTAGGAGGAGACAGGAAATTTGAAAGTAGAGTCGAACAGAAAGTGGAGAATTTCGGTGGNGTTAAAAAGAAATTGAAGAACGCCACTGTTTACGACACTCAGCCATATCACTCAGTGTCTCTAACCATCGGTTACGATCATCCCGAGGTCCCCATTCAGGGAGCCTAACAGAACCTATGTGACCCAGTCCCCTGGTCAGGGTTTTCATACCCTCATGCCAGGTCTTAGCTTGACCACCCTTGACTTTATTCCATTCACTATGTGCCTCGGTAAACATCGCTCGCCGGTGACATGCGTAACACATGCCCCAATCAACGTAATCTATGAAGGTGGACCGGTTGCCTCAGTGGGCGACTGCAGTTACCTAAAGCTCTGCGCCTAGCCTCAGCATTGCTTGTCCGGCTGTCCCACCAGATTCGTGCACTGCTGCGTAGACAGCGGTATTCAAACACCGAGAGTCTATCATTATCCTGTTTTCTCAGTGTTTAAGTTTCTGCGCCTTATAACAGAACTGGCTGAACTGCCGCGGCATACGCTCGGATGTCGCGACGGCACCACAGATGTCTCAAGTTGGCAAATGACAATCGAGCCTTTTGTATGCGCGCAGACACTTCATCCGTGATTCGTCCACCGGGTGATATGTAGCTGCGTTAGCGCTCACGTACATTAATGTTCTATGGTCCGGACCAAAACACGTCCATCCAGAGTTGCTGACCGACAGGTTTCTTGCCGAGTGCGACGATCAAGACAAAACAGTGGAACAATGGAGCATACCTAAAATTCCCCGGATTACGTTTCCATTCACGTTATCTGACAGTAGATTCCGCTGGCTGTATTATTCAAAATGTGGGATACAGAAATACAAACACTAGTACTTAGCTCTGACTGCAAATGTGTCACGTATTGTTTCTGTAAGTACCCTGAAATTAACCCAAGGAATCATGACTGAGAGCAGGATTTTTTCGAATTACATTAAAGGTATATATCAGAGTTTTTTAGCCTGTAATAACTTATTGATCCAATGTCAGTATAGAACGCACTCCTTTACCCCTGGAAGGAGTAACGGTTCGCTATGGCGTTAATTCGAGCAAACATCAACTGCGCTCCACAGTTGTGCACAGTTTATTTGCCGATTTCAAATAGTAGTAGCTTGTACACAGCCCCGTATTCTAGTCAGACACGTGTGTATGCGGTTCATATCGGTGATACCTATTATTTTCTTTTGCCGTCCTTTAACCGGTGCATTTTGTGATCTTTAAACTGAAACATCGTATCTGATCTGCTTTTGAAAATTGTCCTTGTGTTCATTGGATAACTGGAAAAAAGTTCCCGTCTTGTCTATACTAGCGTAACCAATCTACCCCCAATATTGTATCTCTATGCGCAGACTCGACTGGGCTTAACTTGACAGAACACAGCAGCTCAAACAAATCTCTAGCAGTTCAATCTCTTTCATTGTTACATATGTGAATGGTGTTCATAATAGCACGGCTAGTTTATAATGCATCCCTCTTGACTTATTTTCATGGTACTATAGAAACTTTCGGGGGCTGTATCAGCTCTGTGAGTGTAACTCCTAGGAGTGCGTGACGATCATGGGAAAGATCAAAGCAAGTTCAGCCACAATGGTAAAACACATCTTCCGCTTGAGAGGTCCAGAGTTTAACTCTTTGGTACAGAATATTTATGAGATCCGGTAAGATAAAACTTGGAGTTTAGTGCTTCTCAAATGCATGATTGATAGAAAAAAACGGAAGTTTGTGTATGAAAATGAGTTTGAATTGTGGTCAATCCAAATGAATATTAGGACAGTCGAGAGGAGCTTGCTAGATTTTCGATTTGTACTTTCCTCATAATGCAAGTAATGACACTCTTTGAAACCTTCAAATATAATCCGGGGAAACGTCATAGAGTTATATTATATTTGCACTTGCAGGGCTTCTAAATAAACGCACATGCATTGTGATGAAATTATCTAGACCGCATTCTAAGTCTTTTTATTTTGTGACAACCTTAGCCCTATCCATCCGTGAACATCACAATCACCAATGATGACTTTGATGTCAAACAAAATCTGATAGCACAAACAACCCTGCATATGGACAAACTATACAGCCCGTCACCGACCAAATGGCGCGCGAAATGGAACAAGGTCACACTCCGATTGGCGTCAGATAAAATGAAGTAAGCTGGTATTGTATTCACGACCAGAATGAAACAACTGTGTTCTAAATACCCTGAAAGGATTGCAGTGATTGAATAACTGGGGAAGTGAATTCAGACAGTCTCCACCAGTGACTCATTTAACAGTTTCATGTCAACAGAAGTAGAAGTGTGATCTATAGTATACAAGCTCTGCGGAGAGGAAAAGACGCTATATCTGCCAAGTGGTATTTTCCCCAGGCAGCCTTTGTATGGCCGTAGCCCCCTTCCTGAAAGTTGACTGTACATTTGTATATTCAATAAATAGAAAAAGGAAGTAAAAAGACATTTATTATTATTATAACTCACCCCCAATCTTATCAAGATGAAGAGGACAAATAACCCGTTAAACTGTATGATTGACTTATTTCACAGCATCTCATCGCAGGGGCGTAGTCCGTAATCTTGGGGTTGTACGTTCCAATGTCCCTTAGGGGATCTCGCAGACCAAATTATCGTCAAATTATCAGTCTCCGTCTGACACCTTTAAGAAAGACTAATACCTATGAACAGAAAGCTGGATTCCGATCTCGTAACAGGTATGTTGCTCAAATTGTTACATCATTGATCAACCAACCATAGTAATGTTCTTCAGTCTACAATGAGCTCTTGACTCGGTCTATCGCGAGGTTACTTGCTTCGAAGAGGAACACCTCAGAAGTGTATTAAGTTGCGCAGGTTACTGTACTCGTATACTTCTTGTAGAATGAGGGTTTATAATCAACTAAGTAGCTCGTTGATCAGTGATGCTCTTGATGAATACCCTTTTCACTTTTTCTAGTTAATTTGGTTATATAATAATAGAGAACATTTGAAGTGGTTTTCAAAATTTCGGCATGGAATGAGCAGCCGGAGCGAAGCTATTTGTTCGAATCTATGGAGGAAGGGGAAAGTATACTTGACAGACCAACAAGCTCTGTTAATCGATTCGGTATATTAGATGATGAATTCGTGGTGTAAATGAGACGTGAGCTGAAAGCTAGGGAGCACAGAACAGTTATTTTGAGCTGGTTGGGTCTCGCCAGCAGCGCGCATCCATCGATCAAACGGGGGATCAAACCCGGGACCTCAAAAGTAGAACGCAAGCGTACTAACCGCGCGACCACCGGGCGGTACTTCGAAAGCCTAAGGACTGAAGCACCTCAAGCGTCGGCGTGACGCTGTACTAAAGTTGGATGTTTGCGCATGTTATGCTTCGCGATTGGGAGATCTTTTTAAGTAGAAGATAACCATTGGTTAGGGGGTTTCGGCGATCGATGGTAACGTCTTTTGATGCAGGTGAGCTGGCGTAACTGTCGTTTTTTTTTTGGGGGGGGGGGAAAGGGGAATTGATGAAATTCATCATCACATCAAATTAGAATAAGTAATCTCCGCTGGTGCCTAATTTACAGTAACCACTCCGGGTTGGAGGAAATCATGTGGATGAAAACACACGACATGGAAGCGATATTTGAAGAAATGCACAGAGTAATTAGGTAAACCAGATGTCTTTTACTCTACGATGAGATTCAAAAGACCGTGTAACTGGTTGACCGGGGAAAATGTAGCACATGGAAGCGAACTGGCAGTCGGAAGGCTTAAAGAGGTGGTCAGATATAAAGAGACTGTATACATGTACACTGTATTCATATTTTCAGGCTTATTATAAGTTTTTTTTTCAAATTACGTTGTTGGTAAGATTAAAGTATCATGTTCAAATTGTAAGAAGTTCAGTAGCTTCTATGGTATTCGACCCCATGCATCAATTCACCGAACAACATAAGTTGAACGATAGCGTTGTCTTGGATATTCATACGGAAGATTTCAGTGAATTCTAAGGAAAATATGTCGTGGCATTCAGCTTACATGATACCTGGTGGTGATTCCATATGCCTGTGTGTTGAATGGGTAATTCAAATTTAAGAAGATCACCGCTGTCGGTTTGACCTTGTAACGCAGTTGGTACAGCGTACACCGTGCAAAAATTTGTTACGGCAAATCTTCTCTTAAAAACAATCCTCTTTTTCATATCCTAAGCAAATTAGCATTAAGATTGCTTGGGTATGTGCGCACCAAGCACGTTTACACAGGATTTTACACTCGGTTTGATCAATACCGCATGCGGTGTTATTATCATGCAAGTTTTTGAAAAGTAGTTTACACTCCACTGTCAAGCTTTTGTGAATTTTGTGGCCATTCAGTGCTGATACTGCCTCGTCGAACTTCCGAAATTTATTGTAAAAATGAGCTCATGTTGAAATAATGGTTTGTATTTCAAGAATTCAAACCCTTCAAATAACCGTTCGGTTTTCAATCCTGCCCTAACCACTATCATGTTTCAGAGATTGTGAATTAGGATTCTGCATTAACTCACACTTGTCAGTGAGGACCTGTATGAATAGAAATCTTCCTTAACAGGGGTGCGCCTGCGTAAAGGGAAAGACTTGATAGTGACTAACTTCGTGTTTGACCTTCAGACTCAGTTCCTATGTGCAAGGCATTCTTTCTCGATGTTCTGCTTTACCTTCACAATTAAAACTCTGTTGGGCCCATACAAGTAAAATCAACTTTGATTGATTCGAGGAAGTTTTCGGATACAAAGACCAACAACGCGACTCAAACAGCTTTGGCGTTTTCATTTAGATTCAACATCAGTACATACTGGAGTTCTTTTCGGTCAATGCTGAGACTCGAACCACAAATCTTTGTGTTGGGGGCAGAACTTCGCGCAGTCGACGGTCAACACCTTGAGAAAGAAGCGCTTCAATTTTAAATTTTTGGCTTGAATTGTCCCACTCAATCTCACAAGTACTACACATTTTATATAATATCCTATCTGATGACTATTTTGCAAACAAACATTGTAATTGAATGCTCCCGTTGGGAACACAAAAATGATGCGCACTGCTGAAGAATCTCGAAGAGAAGGAAATAGTTGTCAGTCGTCACAGGAAGAACCTTCATCACCATCTTAATGAATCGTCGAAACAAGATCATAATATCATAGTAAACGTTGCTTGATACACAGTCGTGATAACTGTGAATCAGTTATGAAATGATGTATAAATTATTTTGACTTACGATCTGGTCTATTATTACACATTTTTAACGTTTCACAGATTTACGAAACTGCTTTTTCAAGTGACGTGATTCATAAAAATTGAACTTTCCTGCGGAATCAACGCATCTATTCTGCATTGTGTTGCAGTTTTGTCTGCCTTTTTGAGAATTAATAGCTGTGCTTTTATTGGTCCACATTTTTACGTTCCTATTAGAGGTATCATTGGCTCAGTGAGTGCACATTGTTGATGTACAAGCACTTCCAATGCTTTCCGGCTATATTTGTGGCAAATGGATGTCGCATAATGAATTGAATTTTAATCATTACTTTTCGTATATCAACCAGATAAAAAACCGGACATACCAAAAATCAGAAGACTTCTCTAGTAACAACCAGGACGTAGTCGTAGCGCCATACAATACTTTCAGTTTGTATTCTGCATCGCTCACCTTTATGAAAATGTCAATATTTATAACCCGAACTCAGAACTCCTTAATACCATAATCATCTAGTACCATTGACCAATAAAGTTTGTATGCATGAAGATGAATAATAGTTCGCGGCCCCTCAGTGTTCATCTGTACAATTCCCATTACGAGAAGGCAAACTATTCTACTGACTTTAGCTACACACTTGTCGCAGACTGATTTTACCACACTATTGCCGTAACACAGTCGTTTCTTTTTCCACATATTCATCGCATGTGTGTCGCAGAATTATCCTGTCCTATCAAGCGTACAATGTCGGCTCGTCAAAAGTGGACAAACAAGTTATCCGTCTGCGTGATGTGTCCGAAGAAGATGAGCCTGTGGTTGAAGAACGCATCGAAGGTGAGCAGGGGGGATTGATAAACGTACTTAAGAGTAAATGCAATGTGTCCATATCGTGACCAGCCCGATTATAGTCAACAGAATTTGGGGGAGGATGTTGACTGGAAATCATTTTGAGGATCTCGTCATTCACACATTATACTATTTTGATGGCACATCTAAGAATTCTTCTGAATTATGATGGTGTTTATGATGAAGTTTTCAGTTATTTTCATTCACATAATATGGAATACAATAATGTCGTAGTCCAACTTTCAACAATAATTTCCTGTTGGTCGTTCCCTCAATGAAGCCCAGTGTCAAACGACTGCATAGTTATTGTTCATCAAGTCTTTGAAACACCTTGATTTTTCTGCCACGAGTTCTCCCTTCCAGAGTTCTTTAGTTGTATCCTAAGTGTGATCAAATGTCTATTATCTTCAATGTGGCAATGAAGAGATTTAGGGTTTTTGGCGATCCCAAGATTCACACGTTCATTTCTGTCACTTTACCTCGTCACGTAGTTCTAGATAGCGCTGTTTTTTGAACCGGTGTCTAAGGTCCCGAGACGTAGGAGAAAGTTTGAAAAATGATATACGTGAATGTCTGTTCGCCTCGTTCAATTCACCCCTCGGTTGTCGGTGTTCAGTAATTTGTTTCCACTTTATCTGAATTGATTTACACATCATGCTGACATTGTCAACGTGAGCCAGTTTTACTTCTAGTTCACTGATGTTATTCGGGTCAGAAAAAATGAAAGCAGCTTCAAACTAAAAAGTTTTTAATCTTGCCTTGGTTATCAGAACAATAAACAAAGACATATGTATATTAATGGGCGTTGTTTCCACGTCAGTATAAGATATTTTGATGCTAATCTAATACACCCCGATATTGGTTTTAGATATCCCATTTTTACATAACTGGTATCTTGCGGAGTACCGTGACGAGTCTCCTATCCAAATGACTTGTCCGGATAACAGTTGCGCTATTGAACGCCACGTGACATAGAAAATCCTCAAGTTCACAGCGAATCACATTTTGTGACGCACCTCGCGCAAGCATATTCTGTTTGCTTGGAAGAGCGTGTAATCTTGACCATTTTCATCGGTTTTTCTTGAAATTCTCATGGTTATACTCCACCGGATACCATGCACATAGTAATAGGGCGTTTTAAGTTAGTACTAGGACATCTTGAATTATTGCAGAGACGCCCCAAATGAAAAAAGATACTCGCATCAAATAGTTCTGAATGTGCACAAGGATCTTCCTCAGAGATGGACATGATAGGGGCTTTTCCAATGATCCCGAAGAGTAACTACGAATACAAACAGCTGGGAAGCACTGAACAACTGTTTTGACCCGGTTGTGTTTCGTCAGCGGTGCGAATCCATTGACCGAAAAGGGGATTGACCTCACAGGTCGAACACAAGCGTGCTACCCACTCGGCCACCGGGCAGCTGATCAGACCGTTCATCCTTTGGGATATACACGATAATAGTACGGACCTCGCTGGAGGCTAGTGATGAGATGAGTGAGGCTCGTTGACCGTATACTGAAAAGGAGAAACGGTCTGATCCACTGCCCGGTGGCCGAGTGGGTGGTATGTTTACGTCTTACCTGCGAGTTCCCGGGCTCGATTCCCCGACTGATCGATGGATTCGCACTGCTGATGAGACACAACCAGGTCAAAACAGCTGTTCAGTGTTTCCCAGCTTTCATCTCACACCTCATTTATATGAAGAATTCATCATTTAATCAAATCGATGAGTTTGTCATTTAATTTTTTGGCAACCAGTCATGTTTTGTGCGTTTATCGGACAAAAAATTGAAATTCATTTATCATTAGGCAATGGGCTTGTTTCTAGAGTATTTGACTTCATTTTTCCGTTATCTTTTGACTGCCAGATAGAATTGCTATGAAACACAAAACAAATC